CGCGGTGGGGGTCGGGGCCCATGGCTGTCCCGGTCCCACGGGTTCTGGCCTGACCCATGGGGAGCCGCGGGGAGGCCCAGGGCCGTCCCGTCACCTTCTCTTTCCTATTTAAGGTTGAGCTCCGCCGCAGGTTCCGCTCATCTCCCTGGACCGCGGGCTGCAGTCGGTCCCCTGGCCAGGACGCCCCTTGTAAGTTGTGGGGGGCTCAGAGGTGCTTGGGGGTGAAGGGGTCTAAGGTACGAGGAGCTGCTCAGGCTCCCAGGAGCTGTGGTACCTGGGCTCCCAGGGCTTGGCATGTCGCCGCCAGGTGGCACGGCCCCAGGCCTCCGGGACACAGTGTGCCCGGTGTGTGGGCTGGACAGCCGATTCCCAGCAGGCGCGGCCCGGCTCTTGAGCACCTCCCCGCTCCTGGGGCTCTGTCCAGCCGGGACGACTGAGCCACGGCCTGTTTGGAACGCGTCCTGCTGAGTGACAAGAACCCCCTGGCCCGGCCGGGCTAGGTTGGGGCGACTCTCCTGGCATCAGAAGCCCCCAGTGGGCAGTGGGTGTGGCTTCAGGTTGGTGTGGCATCCAGGTCACAAGGCAGCTGCCAGTGCTCCGGCCCTCACATCAGGGCAGCAGGAAGGAGGGGGCTGCCTTTCAGGAAAGCAGAAGCGTCCCCCCCCCTGCTCCCCCCCTGCCCGCACCCCTGGCCCAGGAGAGCGCCCGGCCCACCCCTGGTGACCGGGGGGACGGCAGGGGCAGGGGTTCAAGCTGGCCTCAGCCCAGGGGTCACTGGGGGTCACTGGGCGGCAGCAGGCACAGTGCTGCAGGGAAGATAAGGATTCTGCCCACAGGAGGGGAGGGTGGTGTGAAGCCCTCCCTCTCCTGGACCCACGCTCCACAAGCTGGGCCTCCCTCAGGCCTGGGGGCTGCTCTGGATGGCTGCCTCAGGCCCAGGGGCAGGCCCCCTCCCTTCCTGCCAGGGCCTGGGCCCTAGAAAGGGTGAATACCAGCGAGCCAGGGGTTAACTGCCTGGGGCTGGCTTCTCCCAGCAAAGGGGCCCTCTGTGCTTTTTTTTAAATCCTCACCTGAGGATAGGCTTTTCGTTGTTTTTTTCAGAAAGAGTGGAAGGGAGGGCCATCTCCCTGGACCGCGGGCTGCAGTCGGCCCCCTGGCCAGGACGCCCTTTGTAAGTTGTGGGGGGCTCAGAGGTGCTTCGGGGTGAAGCGGTCTAAGGTACGAGGAGCTGCTCAGGCTCCCAGGAGCTGTGGTACCTGGGCTCCCAGGGCTTGGCATGTCGCCGCCAGGTGGCACGGCCCCAGGCCTCCGGGACACAGTGTGCCCGGTGTGTGGGCTGGACAGCCGATTCCCAGCAGGCGCGGCCCGGGGAGGGGGCGGGAGAGAGAGAAAAATGGATGAGACATGTTGACTGGTTGCCTCCCACACTACCCTGACCAGGTCCCATTCGAAACCATGACCCTTCAGTCCTGGGGCCTGTGCTCAAACCACTGAGCCCACGGGCCAGGGCGTCCTCTGTGTCCAAGACTAGCCGGGACCCAGTCAGCGTCTCCCAGGCTGGTGGGGGCGGAGCCAAGTCTCAGGCCCTAGAAGTGAGGGGCCAGCTGCTGCAGCCTCCCCAGCAGGCCCAGGCGCCCCCAAGCCCTGGCTCCTCCCGCAGGCAGTGCTGGGGGAGGGACTAGAGAGCTACAGGCCAGAGCGTAGCTGCTGTGGGGCCCCCCCACCCCCCACAGGCCGAGCTCGCCAGCCACAGCCCCCTCCCTTTCCTTCCCGACCTCCAGAGACGCTGGCCGGCCTTATCTGTCAGGGATGGGCAGCAGGAAGTGGTCATCGGCCCTGGCCCGGGCGCTGGAGGCCCAGGGCTGGGTGGACTCGCGCATTCCTGAGCACAGCGATCTTGGACTTTTGCCCCTCCCACGTGACTGGGCCAGTGGCGTAGCACTCTGGCCTGGTCACCTCGTAAGGCGGATGGGAGGTGTGGGTAGAGCCGCCACCCACCTTAGTGTCTCTCCCCCCTCCCCGCGCCCAGGGAGACTCCCCCTGAAAGCACCCCTCCCCTCACTGTCCGCAGGGCCCTGCCCTACAGTGAGCCCAGCGGGGCTGCCACGCCCCCGGCCACGTCAGCTCCCCACCCAGCATGGAGCCCCAGGACCCCAGTGTGCAGTACAGCAGGTGGGATGAGGTCAGTGTGGGGGCTGCGTCCAGCCCGGAAGAGGCCTCCTGCTGCGAGCGGTGAGTGGGGGCAGCCTCCGCTCCACACCCCTGGGTGCCCCCCTCCCCTGGCATCTGAGCAAACCTGGGCCCTCCGCCTCTGCTCCTTCCCCGAGGGCTCCCTCCTGTTGCCCACATCCAGCGGAGCGCCCCAGCACCCACTTCCTTTGGGGCCCACCTGCCCTGGGCTACCCCCCCCTCAGGGGCTCACGTGCTGCCCTCTCACCCTAGGCTCTCCCGGAAGCTGTGCTCGGGCCGGCTGGGGGTCACCATGAGGATGCTGGGAGGAGTGGCCCTCTTCTGGGTCATCTTCATCTTGGGCTACATCGCCGGCTACCTAGTCCACAAGTGCAAATAGTGCCGCCGGGGCCACGGGCACAGGCCGGGGGGCCTTCATGCAGACCCCCCTACACACATCCTATACAGACTCCCCCATACATGCATCTGTATACAGACCCTCCCACAAACATGCATCGTATGGACTCCCCCCCATAAACACGCATCCCCTATAGACCCTCCTATACACACGCATCTGTATACAGACCCACACACATGCATCTGTACAGATTCCCCGATATACACGCATCCCTATACAGATCCCAACACACATCCTATACAGACTCTCCCCACATACATGCATCTATACACTGACCCCCACATACACGCATCTGTATAGACTCCCCCCAGATACACGCATCCCTATATAGACCCTCCCCTATATACATGCATCTGTATAGACACCCCCCCCCCCCATACAGAGGCCCCCAGAGAGGGCTGAGGGGAGCGGTGTGTCCCTCTGCCCGCCCTCCGAGGGGCCGAGGCCTGTTCCTGGAAGACACTTCCCAGGCAGAGCAGGGAGCGGCCTCCACCCTCACCCCGTCTGCCCCCTTCTTTCCCTCCCTGGGGAAAAGTGTATTAGTCATTAAATTAAATGTCTGTTGAATGAAAGATGCTGATGGCCATGTTCCCCGGGGCCAGGTGTGACTCGGTGCCTGGACAGCTGAGGGGGCCTGTGGCGAGGCTGCCTGGCTCAGGGCCTTGAGATGTGCCCTCCTGGCTGGGCCTGAGGGCCGGGGTGTGGCCAGACCTGCTCCTGTCCGCGGGCCCTGTGTTAAGTCCCCCTTGTCAGGCCAAGCTGCCTACAGGGGCACCTGTGGCTGGTTGGGGGGACGTCAGGAGTCTGCGTCCAGGTGGTGTCTGGCTCTGACCCCGAGGAGTGAGGTGGGCAGAGTCCGGGTCCTGTGGGCTCAGGGAGCAGGTTACGGGCCTCAGGGAGGGTCCTGTCCAGCTCTGGTCTCGGCCTCCACACCCTTCTGGCCCCATCAGGGGAGGGAGGGGGTGCAGCTGGCGCACCTCTCCCAGCCTCACCCTCTGGCGCCGACCCAGGAAAGGCCGTGGGGTGGGGGCTGCGGGGAGGTGGGCAGGGGCATGGGCCTCCGTGGGGCCAGTCTGCCCTGGGGGTACCAGGAGTGGCCGAGGGTGTGGACAGAAGGGGTCCTGGTAGCCCTTGCCCACTCCTCCCCAACTTCCCAGGTGCACTGCAGGCTCCGGCCTTGCTGATGGACAGGTATGAGTGGCCTGGGGCAAGGCCGACTGTCCTGGGCAGGTATCCAGGGCAGGGAGGGGCAAGCAGGTGGCAGGTGACCCACGCTGAGGGCACTGCTGGGAGCCAGCGCTGCCTGGACACGGAGGACCTCCTCCCGGGCTGACTAGATGTCAGGCCAACACGATGCCCGCTGGAACCGCGCACCTGCACGCACCCCGCTGGTCTCAGGAGCCAGTGTCTCTGCCCCGGGGGCCTGGGGCCTCTGAGACTGATCCCCCAGGGCCCCCAACGTACAGGGCACAGTCCTTAGGGCCCCTGCTGAGTCAGTGCCCAGCCTCCCGACAACAGGCACAGGAGTGGGCAGGCCCGGGAGGCAGGGCTGCAGGTGGGCCCGAGCGGCGCTGGGTCTGGGGTCTGTTTCGCAGACCTGCCACCCCCACTGAGAGCGGCCGGGGAGGAGCAGGCGCTCCCACTAAGGTCGCTGCAGACGCAGGATGGGGAGAGCGGCACCAGGAGCAGCAGGCGGGGGCGGCCTCGTCAACGTGGAGGTCGCACCAGGTGCACTGAGCCCAGGGGCGTGGAGGACAGGGGCTGTGGCCCCCCTTCATGCTCCACTGTGACCCGCGGACCCCATGCCTGCCAGTGTCAGCCCTGACTGCCCGAGGCCCTGTGTGTGCGCCGGGCACCAGCAGACCCTGCACAGGAGGCTCGAGGTGGGGTGGGGGGAGCAGGACAGCAAGGAGAGCCTTTGCCGGCTCACCCACGTCAGCCCAGGGACAACGGTGGGAAGGCCTGGTGGTCGAGAGCCAGGTCGGGGTCTCAGCCACCCACCACGCCCCGCAGAGCAGGCTGGCTGAGCTCCCAGGCCTCGTATGTCTGGTTCTGATGGCTAAGTGCCCCCTCCCCAAGACGGACAAACGATCTCTGCAGGTTGGAGCCGTGGAATAAACGGCTGCGAAACACGGAAGCTGAGGAGGCCGCTCCCCACTCCAGCCAGACCCTGCGGCTGCTCCCGGACCCAAGCACGTGGCCCTGGGAAGGCACATGCGTGTGCTCACACAACACACGCAGACACAGGAGGTTTCCTGCCGAGACATTTAAAACCAGAAACACCTACAGTGTAAGATGCTGCAGCCCCACCCACCGGCACGTCCCCCTGGGACTGGGGTCTGCCATCTGCTCGTCACCACAGGCTCACTCACCAGCGGCTCTAAGTCCCGCTGACTCCTCCCCCCGGCAGGTGCCCCTCTGAATCGCCACCCCTAAGCGTCCACCAGCCACGCGTTCACCGTAGGCCGAGGACGAGGCTGCGCGTGCTCAGTGCACCGGCAGCGGTGGAAGAGGCGATGCCCGCTGCGCAGGCTCCGGCTGGGACGGAACGCCATGTCCACGGAGTCTCCCGGGAGCAGCTGGCTGTGCCCACGTGACCCCAGCGCGTTCTCACAGTGCAGTGCGCTGAGTAAGTCACCCAAAGCCTTAGTGAGAGCTGGAGGCAGGAGAGTGTAAGCACGTGACAGCGTGGCACACGTGACAGTGTGGCACGTCTTCACAGCAGGATCTTCTGCAAACTGGACAAAGACTGCAGACAGCTTCAAAACCGCCCAGGGGGCAGGGTAGCGAGTAATTCAGTGCCCCCACTCGTGAGCCCCTCGGGGGCAGAGCTGTCCAGGTGGCTGGCGGCGCCGGCAGCGTCTCAGCGGATGACCGTCACGTGGGCAGCGGCGATGTCCAGGTCCGTCTTGGACGGGTACACCACCTTCAGGTGCCCCTCCTCATCCACCACCCGCACCTGCTCCACCACCAGGGGGGCGCTCCCGTCTCGCTCAGGGCTGGGGTGCCTTCCGGGCTCCGAGAGGTGTCCGGAAGTGGCGTCCGCTTCAGTGTCTGAGACAGAGCCCTCCTCCTTGTTTTCTAAGGTGTATTTGTTGATTTCTGCCATTTTCTGCAAATGACCCAGAGATCAGAGGCAGCCCCGGGAGGCGCCCGGAGACCCACGCGGTCCTCTGCCCGTCGCCTGGAGGCGGGGCTACTCACCAGAACGAGGGCGTCCATGATGTCTTTGCAGATCTGCAGACTTGTCGCACTTGTCACTTCCAAAAACAAATCGCAAGTTGTTTTCTTAATCTTAAAGAGAAACCAGGAACATTTCAGAAAAGAGTCAAGTTACCAACAGTGACCAGCAATTGCAACACTGAATCTGGGGAAACCTCACACACATGCCACTCAAGCCGACAGACAGACCGCGGGCTGCGCGCACCCTGACATGGTGTGGCCCAGGCTGGGCCGTGCGCGCCCGTCGCATGGAAGACGCAGGGACGCCTACTCTCCACCCACCTTGGTCTTCTCGCTGTTGGTTATCGGCGGGAAGGAAATGACGTCGCCGTCGGCGTCCAGGAGGCAGGGGTACTGCTCCTTCCCGTCCAGCAGGTGGAGGTATCTGTGCAGAGAAGCCGTTAACAGCGAAGCTGCCACAGTGCCCGCAGGTTAAACCGGGCAAATCCAAGCCCTTGACCCCAAGAAAGATCTAGGCATGTCCCACAGCTCAAGGCACAGAGTGTCCCGAAACCGTGTTCGTGGGGACGGCATCTGGGCTAAGGAGGCAGGGCCAAGGCCTGTGGTCATTCCCAGCCGTGAGATCTGGGAAAATGCTGGGTGGGGGTGTGGGGGTTCGTCTCCCTCGGGCTGTGGGTGACTTGGTTCCCCACCACCTGCGTCCTTGGTGCCAAGAGCCACCCTCCTGAGGCAACACAGGCTCCCTCGGAAGTGGCGTCCACGTCACACACTCTCAGGCACCACCTTTCACCCCACCCGCAGGGAGGCCCTCGCAGAAGAGGGATGGACTTCTGGGAGAGGCCTCAGTCCCTGGCCAGGTCAGGCGCTTCCTAACTGGCGGTGGATGAGATGGAGGACGGGGCCGGGACCAGGGGCCACCTGTGCAGGCCCGAGACCGTCTGCCTCTTCTTCTGCTTCCGGTGCTCCTCCGCCTCCGCCTGCAGCTGCCGCACCAGGTCCTTGACCTTGACCTCCTTGCGCCCCAGGGGGACGATCTTTGGGGTGAAACCTCAGGTCAGCTCATGTGGAAACACTCTCGGCCACTCACCCCAGCAGCCCCGCCCCCGCCCCCTCCTTCACGACGGGAGCGCCGGCTGCCCCACAGCTGCCATTCTGCCCCCACATCACACGTGCTCACATGTGCCTCAGAGGTCACCTAGGAGCCCCAACACCCAAACACCCCAGTGCTTAAACTGAGCTAAACCTCGAACCCAACACACAGCTGCGTCTCCAAGACTACAGATCCTGGAAGGCCAAGGGCCGGCCAGCAGCGCCCGTCGGGCAGGCCCGGGACCCGCCCCACCCGGGGCCTCACGCCTGTGCAGAGGCCAAAAGAACGGCCGGACCTGCCGGGACAGCCGGCCAAGGTCAGGCCCCACTGGGGGCTTTGCCATTGGGATGCAAAGCAGGAGTTTCTGGTTTAAAGCGAGTGAGCAAGTGAAGGAACCCCTTTACCGGTCCCACTCCTGAGCCTGTGCCGCGGCGTGAACAGGGCCCCTGCTGCCCCGGGAGCCGCGAGGGCGAGGAGCTGCCGC